ACTACATACCTAAATAATCTTTGACCATATTCAAACCAAATATATTGGTGTTATACATGTGGAATCCTTGAGTTGATGCATACATTAGGATTGGCCAAAATTTGAAGAGCATGGCCATTGGTTCTGTAAGCAACTACATTTCCACCTTGTTGCCTTTTCCATCCCCACCTGTATAAAATAAAATAAAATAAAATAAAATAAAATTCTAAAATATTGTAAGTGAGAAACAAGCTAAGAAATGTAGCTTTAAAATCCTCAATCATATAAGAACCATCAGTGAACCGATAACTACACTAACTGAGAGTTCTAGGACAGATGGGCATCCAGTGATGGAGAAGACCATCTTATACTCTATCCAATTTGTGTTCATATTTATATTCTTCACTGCAGATCCATGTATCACTACAGAATATAGTGCTCGTCCCAAGCCACATAAAGTGAAGTCAAAAGTCATTAACTGCATAAGGCATAGAAATTTCTTTACTTTTCTTTGACACTCTTTCACCACTAAAAATGCTAAAAAAAGATTCAAAAACTCCCCCAAAAGAACCAAAAGAGCCTGCAAAGTGTAATCTTTCAACTTCATGAGTCCTCCCTCCCTCTTTATCACTCCCTCTCCGTCTCTCTCACTTTCTCATATTGATGTTAACAAGAAGGCTGTAAACACAGGAAAACACTTGGATTAATGCATCTCTAAAGTGCACAACTATTAAACTCAGAAAACCACTCAAAAACTCGGATTAATGCATTTGCACTAAACACCACACTCTTGCAAGTCCACCCAATTTTTCTAAACGTGATAAACTTAAATCACAGGAAAAGATAGTACAGTCTGGGACTAATAAAAATCCTTAAACAGAAAAAAAAAAAAAAAAAACTACCATTGTTTGATGTCATGAAAAAGAAAAAGGAAGACAGATTGCCCGTTATCTTTATATGGTTAAGTTCTTTGACGCCCGAATACGTGGCTGATGAAAGTTTAAATTTTTCATTTTCAGTTTCTTTTTGTTCTTTTCCCAACGATTTCTTCAGCAAACAAGAAGAAGAAAAAGAAACATTATCCAGTGGCAAAAAAAATCACCAAATAATACATAAATCTACGTGCTAGCCGTAAATGGTAAAATGGGTATTTGAGATTAAGGATTGCAAACTCCACACAGATTAAAGTTCTCTTTTGTTTTTTTCATTTACTCAACAGCCAAACATAAAGTGAATAGAAATTAAGAAACGAGCAGATTATTCAACACACTAGAGCAAATATAGAAATGGGTTGGTGCGTTTAATCCTTAAAACAAAAAAATTTCATATTTTCTTTTACAAGAAATCACTCGGCAGAGGGCAGAGAGGTGAAGAAAAACTAAGAATTGGAGTGAAAAGGGAAATGGTTTGGGAAGATAAAGGATGGGACTTACTTGTAGAGAGTTGCAGAAGGATGGTAATTGGGAAAGGATGAGCCTTGAGTGAAGAGAAGGTGGCCTCCATTGATAGGTAGCAGAGATGTGGACGACATCTTCAGCTCTTTCTTA